GTTTATTGAAATTGAGTAATAAAATAATTTAATTTTTAAGAAAATTATAGATTTTGAAGAACTAGTTAGAATTTTTCCATAAGCAATAATGGAAATCATTTCATTATCTGAATTCTTGATATTCAAATCATTTTCAAGAACACCAGTTATATATAGTCATAGCTGTTTCCTGAATTTATTAGGTTATAATTTGTTACTTGTGCATTGGATTTTAGTAAAATAAAAGTTATCCACTAAAAAATGCTTAGATCTAATCTTTACTGTTATTTTAATTGTTAAATTATAGTTTTCTCTACATTTCTTCTTTCACTATATTTGCCTAGCTGTTTGTTAGCTATATATGAAAGTTTATCTGTTGTTATATCAATGAAAAATAATCTCACTTCCCTATTGCAAAAACACATATTGATGAAATAAAATTATCATTTATATCATAGATAAGCTTGCAGTGTAACAAAGTATTAAGATATAAGGAAATATAAAATACAGTATTCACTCTAGTAATTGAAATATTTCCACATTTTATTTTCAGAAAGAGAAAAGACATTGAAATGCTTAATATTAAAGAATAAAATAAGCATGATATTTAATGATAAGAGTCAGAAGTAAATATAAAACAAAATAAGTATTTATTCTGTTCTGTATTCTATATTTTGTTTTTAATTATCTTTTAATTATTTTTTTGTTTTGCTTGTTTTTCAACCCTTTGTGTATTATATTAAATTTGCCACTTTGAAAATGAGAAAAACCATACATTTCAGTGAAAAACCAGTTTTTGTAAGTTTAACTTTAAACAAAAAAATTGATCTTGCCTCACAACTATAGTGGTAATCTGGTCAACAGTGACACCCAGTTTATAAAAAGTTCATAATCAAAGTGTTAATTGTAATTATTTTTTGATTGACTGACATTTTTTACATCAAGACGGTTTCCAATTGGAGTTTGAATTGACAGTTTTCAAATTGCAGACCTATATGTTCCTACTGTTGTCTGTCTATCTTTCATTAATCTTAAGAATAGAAATCAAGACCAGATATGGAAGGTTTAAGGCTCAGAGACCTTGATTAATTATATATGAACTACATGCAATGTGCAGACCTGATTTCAGTTCAGAATTTTTTCAAGAATGGTGTTAGATAGATGACTGGTATGACTCAGTTGTTATCAAAAGAAGTATGATGTATACAGGGGCAAGACACTACTAAAATCAAGACCAGATATATAAAATTAAGCTTAGTGGCTGCAGTCCCTGATTAACTAATTACATATGAACTTTTGGTCTGGAATGGAAGATACATGAATATTTTTAAATTAAAAGATGATTAAAAATTGCAGCCTGGCATTGTGACAATGTCACAATAAATAATTGCTCATTATTTTCTTTATGTTGCAAATGTTATGTACAGCTGATATTGGTGCCAAGTGTTCTGCCATACTGAGATCAAGATGTAGCTACCCAAACAAGTGTAACATTAAGCTTCTGTGTTATTGATGTATGCATCAATGTATAAAAACTTCCTAATAATGTGTTGTGTTCAATATTGTAACTTTCTATAGTGCCATGTATATGTTTTTATTAAGATTTAACATTTCTAGGCTTTTGTATAGTGTGTTGTATAACATCAGGGGAAGAGAAGACAATAGAGAGGTTACAGCCGACGTTTTCATTGCAAAAACTTGTATGTCAGACTTTCAGCACCGCCTTCCTGTAAGCCTAGAAGTTTGATAATGGTGTTTGGAACGTCAAGCATGATTCCACTGATGTTCCAAACACCATTGTGAAACTTCTAGGCTGACAGGAAGGAGGTGCTGAATGTCAGATGTACACATTTTTGCAATGAAAATGTTGGCCGCAACCTCGCTATTAGGTACAATAAATACCCTATCTATCCTTATTTCTTGGGAAAATGGAGTATACTTGTCAGTGAAGGTAATGCCAGGTCTATTGAGATGAATTGTTTTATTTGTGATTATGCCTCTCTCATATTATATTTTGTGTGTGTCATTTTCTAATACTGCATTTGGAGTATATTTGTAGTATGATACCTGGGTGTTTAATAATCAATATTTGTGTGCATGCTCTTAGTGTATTATTTCTATTTTGACAAATGTAGGAAAGTAGTAGAAGTATAGATTGATGATTACTGAGTATAAGTTATTTGTGAATGATGTATAAAGTATTGGAATTCTACAACTTAAAATTCCATTAATATTTTTAAGATTGGAAGATTATAAAATGTAAATGTTTTTTCTATAAAAAAAAGTGTCCCGTGATATATTTGTATTTTAAATGTATAATGTCATAATATGAAGTATACAAAATAGACTAAACAAATCTTAATTGTATGACTGAAGGAAATATACCAAATGTAGTTTAAAACAGATTAATTTTATGTTACCAATGTATTGTTATAATTTTTACTAAAAATTATTGGTTTTATGTATAATAATAATGTAACTGAAGAGGTAATACAAGTTCTGAAATGCATTTTAGTTAACTTTGTAGCAATTGTAAATTTTAAATGGTAGTCTTTATGATAACCAAAATGTAATAAATTGTTTTCAAATACTTGATGGCAAATATCCGAACCTCAAAGGTGAAAAATATTGAAAAATAGAAAAATACAGTACATAGTTACAGCTACAACAATAACCATAAGATTGAAGAAGTAAGATTGTTTTTTTCTAGCCAATTCAGAATTTAATTTCTAATGTGCCTCATACAAGCATGTACTTTGATCATGGAATAGGTTAGAAATGAAAAACCTCTTTGAATCTGTATACCATACAGTAGGCATAATTATTTTTCAAATAATTTATTCGTGCCAAAGGTTTAGAGTTAGAACAATTATTTTTAATGAAATAGTGAATATACTTTAATTAGCATAAATTTTAAAAATCTGACTGAGAAAATGATGATTATAGTAAGCTGAACATACAATTATAATTAAAAAAAACTGAAATTAAGATAAAATTTATTTATACAGTAAAAAAATAAATAGAATCTTATGTTGGGTGCCAAACATTTCTTCTGATTTGCCAAAGATTTCCCATCCCTGTATAGATATTGATAAAAGTGTATGATAAAAAATGGTAATTATTGGGTTGTTGCAAATGAAATGGCCAATTTTTACTTGACTTTGAACATTTAGCAATTTAATTTAAAACTTACATTTTCAATCAAAATTGTTACCACCAACATTAATGCACTTTTCCCAATGCAATAGAAATGCATTAATGTCAATTTGATAGAAATCATGAGAATGAGAAGAAAAAAGTAATTAAAGGTAATTTTTATTGCATCCTCTTTCTTGAAGACTTTCCTTGCCAAAAAACTGTCTAAATGAATAAAAAAAATGATTAGTCTGTTGGAAAAAAGTGTGGAGAATAATGTGGATGGAGAAGAGTTTCATTTGAATACTTTCATTTATGTGACAACTAATTAAAGAACTGCAGATCTCCAAATGATGCTCCTTATCTCTCCCACTGAGTTTTGTCATTTGTCGAGCTTCTTGACTTTCTCTAACATGTTTAGATGTTGAGAAATGGATGAATAATGTCCAGTACATTCAACCTTTCTGTGATTTCCCGGAGAGTCAGGTGATGTACTGATTGGATGATGATCTTCAATTCTGAATTTTGAAATTTTTAAACCAATCTCTGGCAGTCTGCTCACTTCACCAGTAGAACCTTCACCAAAAGTTTTATTGGTATTTCAGATTGCTTCAGCTGCATTATGTCCCTGCTCATTACTCAAAAAAGAAAATTATTCAATTTCCTTTTTATCCATGCCATCAGAAAAAGTATTCTTAAACATGTGGAACTCACAATATAAATGAGATTACATTTTTAAATTCACATATTATGTGTGGGCTCTTCCAATTGTAAACATACAACACTGTTCACATGGAAAAAAGTTGAACTATAAGGCCAAAAAGTTTAATTTAATAAAAAATGACTATTTCATTTCCAACAACTAGGAAATATATTGTCTTTCTCCAAAAACAATAATTTCCTATATAAAAAGACAAATATTTATAATTGATTTTCTATTCTTGCAATACACCTAATGTTTTCCCCCTTTTTATTTTTGACTTTATCTTTTACTAGCTGTACCTAGCCATGCATTGCTGTTGCTCAAAATGTATCTATTATAAATGTATAACACTCCCCGTGGGAGGAAATTTCAAAAAATCCCTTACGTAATATACATTCTCTTGATGTACCCTACTAAAACACAATCAAAAATGCAAAAAACTACATTTAAAATAGTATAAAGGAAGTCAAGTTCTTCATGGTAATCCTTAATTTTGTCCCTCTCCCCTATGGTGGGAAATTTCGACATCTATATAATATACAAGTTCTTAAACATGCACTACGTTTCTCGCCACGCGGTTACTTATCTTGTATACGTACACGTCTTGCCTCTTGCCACCCACTGACACCAAAAATATAATGCTTACCTAGATGATATCTTTTAATTTATATGAATGTTTAACGAAATAATATACAGCCTATGTCCACCCTGAAGGTCTATTCTAAATAATGGTGAAAGAATTTTTGAAATTGGATGAGTAGTTTCAGAGATTACCTCCTACATTCAAACTTACAAACTTTACCTCTTTATAATATTATTTTGTATGTGTGTGCATGTGCACATGCATACATGTAAACATCTGTCAAAAAGGTTCAATAACAAAATATATTGAAATTTAAATTACTAAATATTTGAATTTATAGTTAAGAAATTATTGGAACAACATTAGTCATTTATATGTTAATTTTAAAAAGACAAATTTATGTAATATTTTCTTTTATTTTGATATTTTTCATTGAAAAAAAAAATATAAAGTTGTTAATAAAACAATACTAGTAAATTAAAAATATTCTTTTTGAAATATTATAATGCTAAATTTATATATATGTACTAATTTTTGTAGGTATTTAGGCCAGTTAATTACATTTCTATTATTTATTTATATTTATGTTTTTTCTATTAGCAGAGAAAGTGATCAGGATGTAACAAAAGTTAAAATATATTAGTGGGAACTGAAAGTGCTGGCTACTGGATGTATGGTATGCCTTCTTGCTTCTATGGCTGGTGCCCTATTTACCATTGAACAGATTGAACTGATTCGCCGCTTGCGAAGCAGCGGTATTACAAAGGAACAAGTAGTACAAGCTTTTGAACAACTAGATCGGTTAGACATTGAATTGGGAAAGACCAATGGAAATAATGTACGTGGACAACATTATAGTAGCCCAACATCTACGTCATCACTTCACAGCACAGAGACTTCTACTCCTGATGCTGGACATAACAATAGTCCTTTGGGCATTACAATTACAAAAGTAACAAGCTTGCCTACAACCAGTCAAGTGCCGAATGGAATGTCTTCAAACTCTCTCAGGTCAGAAACAGTGCCATCTATGCAGCCAGCCTTTAAACAAGGTGAACAGTCATGTTCTCAATCATATTCTCAACCACAAAGTAATGGTACTTCCAATGATGGAATTTCAGATATAGTATCAACTATTCCGCCAAATGGCAATGTTTCTCCTTCACCCAATTCATCTATTACTTCCCCTACCTCAAAACTTCCAAGTGAGTTAACCATTATACCTCTCAGTAATTCATTAACCCAACCAACACAATCTGTTAGTGATGGCACAATTGTTAATAATCCAGCAATGTTTGCATCGAAATCTGAATCATCTGTTGGTGTACCTATTCAGTGTTTGATAAATCCTCATGATTTACTTCAAGATGAATGCAATGAAATGGAAGAATTGAAAAAGTAAGTAATATAATTGAAATGATCTTATACATATGTATTTACATGTGCGCGCGCACACACACACACACACACACACACACACACACACACACTATATTAAAATCATCACCAAACATCTTTGGCTGTTTAGATACATTTATTTGCTATATACTAATGTTTTCAACCTAATGCATAGGCCATCCTCATGTACCATACTTTTGGAATGTCCAAAATATAGAATATCAGAACATTAAATTTTTAAATATAAATTTAACATCCAATAACTCATAAAAGTAACATAAAAATTAAAAATTCTAACCAGAATTACCTTAAATTCTAACATAAAAGTGAAGTAAAAAAAAAGAAACTAAAGTTGTAAATTTTAAATACAAAAATATATCTTAGTAAATGTTGTAACTATAAATTTCTATTACTTTTAACAAGAACATGAATATTATGAAAGAAATGACAGACCAATAAACTAATTTTCAAAGAACACAAAATATTTACAGTACATTGATGTTTAAATATCTATAGATTTATTTACCATCTTTTGCAGTTTATAAACATTTTTTTCTTGTGTTGGTTTTTGTTTATAAGAAATTCACAATCATTATCTTGCAACCCTTCTTTCCAAAAGTTTCTTCTATTTATGCGCACAAGTTAATATTGTTATCTACATGTTCTGTGTTAAATCTCCACATTTTTATTTCCGATATTGTCTATTTTTCTATAAAAATTTGGGGACTATAGAAATTTCATTTAGATTGTCTGTCTTCATTTCTACGTTATGATTGAGTTCAGTTTTGTAACTCCTATTATAAGTTGTTTTATTGTAAGTCAAACATAAAAAGTAATGGTCATAAATGCATACAGTTTCCAAAAGTTGTGTATAAGTCTATTTAGGTATAATGTTGCTTTTATATAGTATGTGTGAATTGTAGTCAGAAAACAGCTCATTTCTGTGCTTACTAGCTGCATGACAATTTGCTACCTAACAAAATTACATAAATGATTAAAAAAAACACAAAATAGTTAACTATTAAAATAGAACCAATGAATCAGGCTTATTATACTGACAATGAATTTAATTTACTCTTTATTTGTCCAATATGCATTATTGTATTAATATAAATTGGACAAATAAAAAGTTAATTAAATTTGCTGTGAATATAATAAGTCTGATTTATTGGTTTTAGTTACTGTAACTATTTTTTTTGTAAAATTTGTAATACAACCAAGAAGCACTTATACATAAATGATAGTTTAATCTAAACAAGGCAATAACAATATTTCTGACCTCCTTTTACTTCTCTGGTCAGCATTTATATTTTATAAATATGTAAATAGTGCATATCCAGTGGAGCAACTACATTATCATTCTTCAAATAGCTTGTAAAAGAAGGTCAGAGGATTATTGCAATTGATTCATTTGTGTTAAAGTGGTCAGCTATGTAATTTGTTTTTTACGAAACAGCTTTTTACTTTTTAATTAAATTAATGAACAACTTGCATTTATATTTTTATAATTACACTTCTATATAATTTAATTTTAACACTTAAAATTTTTTAATTATTAGTTACAGAAATTCATTTATTTGATATTCTTAAAGAAAAAATATTTCTACATTTTTTGATTTGGAGGATCTTTAAACATCAAGAAATGCAAAACAAAATTTGAGGTTTTTCTGTGAGTGAAGTGTGGGTGGTTAGGTGGACACAATTTTGTTCACCCACTTTGAATCTTCATAACCCCTGTGCCTTTTGTCAAAAATTTCTGAAATTTTACAAGGTGGTTTGTCTGTTAGAGGAATTGATGCTATTAAATTTTGCTGGTTAAAGGTCAAGAGGTGGGAAGAAAGAGGGATGGTCATATCTCAAGTAGGGTCAAACTTAACGAAGATTTTAATTATTTGCATTTATAATTTTTTTTTTTATAAATCTTACCTCTAGCCTCAAAATTAAGCTTTTAGCCATTGTATAATAATTAATAATAATATAAAAATTTTAAAATAAAATATTATAACAGATGGCATCACATGCAATTTTAACTTTATTGTCTAGAAAGTTATGGAACTCATTTATTGAGATCCACAGACATGATTTGATATTTAAATTTACTTCATTTGCAACATTTTCAATTACCATAACTGATTCTTCATAAATAATTTTAAATTTTTAGTGTTTCAAGAGAGAGTAGAAATTAAGCTCAATACTCATGTATCATAATTTTTAGCTTTAAATGATTTAGGATGCAATTGCAGATGAAATTAAATGATAAATATAGGTAAGAATTAAATAAAATAATAAAAAAAAGTAATATAATTTAGTATTGCATTCCAGATTTTGCTAATATTTATTTTGATTTTTCCTCTGGATTATTTCCATTTACAGTATTTGATTATTTTCATATATTGACATTTAAATGTTTAAATCAACTGTTTTTAGTAAAATTGTTATATTTAAATAATGAAACTTTTTAATTTTACTTTTAAAAGTAATATATTCTTTTATAACACGTATACTTCTTGAAGTTATAATTTAACTTGCCAAATTTAAAGAATAAAAATTTTGATATGCTTGTGAAGTGTTTGCTTCGTCACAATATTTGGTGAATAATGCTCATATATTATTATTTTGCGATTTGTTAATATTTTTCACATATTATCCTTTCTTGTGTAGAAAGTACAATGTAGAATATTTATTTAGCACTGTTTTATCTAACAGTATTTGATGTTTTCTAATAAATTGGATCACACGCATATCCATATCACTGCTTACCTAAACATAACCACACATTCAATTTCTCCCACATATTATGCAGTGATGTATTGCTTTCCAATGCATGTTGTGCAGTGAAACATTTTCTTGGCATATTTGACTGTTTCACTTGATATTTCAAAAATGCACTAAAAATTAACAGTATGTATTTTTTCATGTGCTATAACTTTGTAATTGATAATGTTGACCTATTTTCATTAGGGGGCAATATCCCTCTTATAGAAGGGCTGCACCACCATTTAGCACATGTCCAACATATAGTAAGCATTAGTGAAAGGTCTATAGTGGTTGTCCTATTAGTTTTTGAAATGATTGGCAAGTGAAAATTTTGTCATCACTCTGTGTAAAACTAAAATTGCATGTATATATAATTTAAGGATAAATATCTTCAATTTTAAAGTTTTTATAGTTTGTTTCATAATTGTGAGTTATATAATGATCATCTTTATTAAAGGTCTGTTAAAGCATAATTTGTTTTAAAAATTTTTTCACTAAACTATTAAAGTTTTTTACAACAAAGAAATACTGCTTATAATTTTTTTTTGTTTTCTTTGAAAATGTATTATACTCTTTAAAATAAATTTTCCATATGATTTGGATAGTTTTATTTTACTATTACATTAAGTCATATTATGCATATTGTGGAAAAACTGAAGCAATGTGAAACAAAATCTTTTGTTTCACAGTATCTTTAAATCTTTATGAAAAATTCAAGCTATATATTACAGCATTTTTGCCAGAAAATCTTTTCTATTTATATTTATGAGTTCTAAATAAGTACTAATGCATTAAACCAAATGAAAATTTGAGTCTAGATTATAATCTAGATTCAAATTTTCATTTGGTTCAATGCTAAAATAATTATATCTTTATATAATAATTCTTTTCCTATCTGATTTGCATAAAATAATGTAAATTATGAATGTAGTAAATTTTTTAATTCAAATATATATACAATTCCAAACAATGCTTGTAGCAGATGATAAATTTCTGACCTGTAAATAGTATTTACAGTGTCAAACACAATACATTTTTTGCTTGACTTTTACTAAGATGATTACTTAAGAACTTAGAGGTTAAAATATCTAAGTTCTTAAACTTAGAATTAAATTTATAAGATTGTTATTTAACATTCAGATATTTAGATTATTGTGATTCTTTTAATACAGTAAATTAAGTGATACTGAAAATAATGTATGATTTTTATACTTTATTAGGAGGGGAGAAATGGCTATTTTGTCAGAAATTCGAAATTTTGTAATGAGATACAACATCAAGCAAACTATGATTGCAGAGATGACAAAAATGAGCCAAGCATACGTCAGCCGTTTCTTTCGAGGAGATATCCAAGACATGTCAGAACGCACCAAAAATACTTTCTATATGTGGTATTTAACATGTAAAAATAATCCCTGGAAATTAGGTACGTTGTTTTTTTGAAATTATCATTTTGTATTTTTTTACTTTAGCCTAATAATCTTTAATTATTTCTATTAATATTGTTAAACTTTTTAATGTCAACCTTATGTGTTTATTACAATTGACGAATAAAAAATGAAGGTGCACTTTTAAAAAAACAAGATTTTAACTTTTTGTAATTTACTTATTGATGGAAACAGAACTTAAAATTTTTGTTTGCAAAAGAGTTTGGTCAAATGAGTTCATATTCCTTTGTGTAAAACTATTTTTAATGATGATAATTATACTATAACAACTAGAGAAAAGAATATATTCACTTTATAAATTATTTTTGCTATGTATTGTACTATTGGAAATAAAATTGAAAGAATATTAAGAGGGAAATCAAGGATAGAACTCTTGGTACATGTAGAAATGGAAAAATCAACTGCACAAACATTAGGTTGTACAGAAGAATGAAAAGATAACCATGTGCTCGTTAATCCAGAAATGCATGCAATGTATTTGAGAGATCCACATTTTTGGATTTTTTAAAATTCAAAAACACCTGGTAAAGTAATTGCATTCCATATCCTCAAGCTGATATTTTTGATATCTTATTATCATGATTCTTGTTAAAACATGTTTCTTCTTACCAGGTTTAGTTAAAAGTTGTTTGCAGTGTATGTAGTGTTTAATAGATTCATTGCATGTACTGGTACCATACTTGTTTTTGTTTGTATATAGAGGCTTTGTCTAAGAAATTTGAACCAAACACTCTGGAAGATATAGAAATTATTAAGAATATTGTTTTGTGTAGCATGGAGATGCACAAAGAGGAATTGTATGATATTTCTGACACTGTTTTTTGTCAAATAATTCCAGTAAACAAAAAGGTATTTTTGTACACATAATTCAACAATCAAGAATTGTTACTTTGGGTTACATTTCATACCAATTTTCTAAAAATATTTCAGAGTAACAGTACAACAAAATTTCTTAGAAATAATACCTAAAAAGCAACAATAATTAACAAAAATATTCAGGATATCTGACAGATACATATGTGCTTGCATTATTAACAGCTCTCCATTTTTAAATAAACTTGAATATGTCCAAAGACACACATTAACAATGAACAATTTGGAAGTTGTTGAAATAAAGTATCTGTGACCAGTTCACTGTCAAAACAGAAAACTGTGTGGAATAGGCCTATATCTGATTTTCCATTTACAAGTCAGTGCAAGTTTTAACATAATAACTATATCTCCAACTCTCAGCTGAATAGAATGTTTTCAGTTTCCATTAATTTGTAGTTTGTGCTATTTAGTATTGGGAACTTTGCAAAAATATTGTAAAATGTAAAGTCAAATGAGAGGGTAACTAAAATAGAGAGTGTCAGTAGGATAAGTAAATACACAAGTAAATTAAAAAACAAATAGAAAAATAAATTTAATTTCAAATAAACTTTTATTTTTAAAACTTTTATTGTTTATTAAATTTAATAGTCTAAATAATATCTGTTCATTAAGAGCCTTGCTTATTTTTGATAAAACTGAAATTTATAGAAATACAAGTATTTAATAATATAGCAGTCATTTACATATTCACATATGTTTTTATACAGGTGCTGAAGTGTATTTATACAGGTAACTGGAATACACTATTATACTCTAGTTTGAAAGCATATAATAATTAAAATTCATATATTAAGTTTTTATGATTTCTGCATAATAAAATAAATAATGTAATTTTTTTTAATAAACCTAAAATATATAATCAAATAAGATAAAGACACTAATTGACACTAAGAAAAAAATATTCTATTTTTGTTAATAACTTAAATATTTATTTTGAAACAAAAACAATTCCTAGCACAACTGCTACACAAACTTTCTGTAGTTAACTTAAAATTACATTTAAAAAATACATGATAATTAAAAAAGAAAAAAATTTTAATTCTTGAATCAATGTCCTTGCCCTATTAGTTGACACAGCCTAAAACAAAAATCACTACATACAAGTTGACATTTAACCATCAACATCAATTAAATGTAGATAATTGGTATTTAATCCTATCTCCAGTTACAGTTATTTTTGGCATTGGATGTACAGTACATTTATTATTTGTGAATAAGTAATAATTCTAATATTGGATTCATTTTGTTTAAAAATAGTCTTTTTGTCATTGCAGCAATTCAAGATCATCTTTTGTATCTTCTTAATAATACATACATATTTGTAGAGATTTCCCCGAGAAAATATCTTTGAAANTTTAATTATGTCTACAGACTTTTTTTGCACTCAATTCAAGCTAGTTAGAAGTATATTCTCCCCTTTATTGTCTTCATATATTTTAATTATTTCCATCTTCTGACATCATCATCCATACAGACAGAGAAAAATCATTAAAGCAGTACTAATTGCTGTTTTTTTTTTTTGGTTGTAAATTGTTATTTAGAAATTTTATTTCACAATTTTCCAAGCAAACTGTCATATTGTATTAACTTTAGGTTTCCAGGAAGTTACACTATATGAGATGCCAATCTGTTACTAATCAGATTTGAATCTATTGCGCATTTAAACATGTAACATTTTTGAACATGAATTTTAAATACCATATTTACTTGAATTTAAGATGTATTTTTTCAAGTTTTAGTATCTGTGAAAATAGGGTGTCTTAGATTTGATGCAATACAGTAATACTTTGACTTACGCTACCCCGACTTACGCGAACCCGGAGTTACGTGATTTTCAAATCTTGTCGATTCGTCTTTTGTTTGAGTGCCACGCAACTCTTGATTACTCACTCCCCCCACACTATTGTTCAGCTTACATGTTCGGACGTGTCGTGCGAAATCGACACATAGCTACAATTTATTTTGTGTTATTTGATGTGAGGATCCGAATTCGGACTTTTCGTGTGTTTATATCATTTCACACTGTAGCCATAATTTCATTTGATAACTGTCAACTTTTACACCTGGGAGTTAAACATCTGCTAAGTTCTCAGGCGTAATAATGATGCTTTCTCAGCACCTTTCAACCTAATATCTCCGTTTCAACAATCCAACATGAAAAACAGAGAACAAAATGAGTCAGTCATCACCAGTTACTCGATCGGACCACTCAAGTTTTCCCTGTGCTAAAACTTTGGATATTTCCTCGCCTAATAACTGTGGAAACTGTCGTCCAGAACTATCTTCTTTTGTGATTTCATACAAGGTATTTATCGCCACGTGAACCTTATGTAAACTCTCTCTCAAATTGGGGAAAATGTAATATCTTAATATTGAATACTTATCAAATTGAGAAATGTATCTAACTGCAGCCCTAATGTATAGCCTATCATTAACCATTAAACAGTTGTTACGTTAAAGCGTCTATGAGTAGGTCACTTCCGGTGCGCTGTCTCTCCTTCTATCTAGACTCTGATTGCTCACACACGCAACCGCTCACACGCCCGAACGAAACGGTTTCTGTGTCTAGCCGTGAAGACACAGTGGTGTCAGTCCTGACGAAACCTGTCATTGCGATCTTCGCCGACGCGATGTCGACCCTTCGGTCACGTGGTGCCAAAGTATAGGGAGGCCCTTCGGCATTGTCACATTTATTTCTGTGTTTGTTATATTTACGGAGACTTGAGAGACTCTATGTGGTGATTTCTTGTAACCGTGAATGAATTGAAAGACGAGATAAGATTAATGAGAACATTTATTAGCTTACATACATCTGACTTGGATTTTACACAAATTGTGAAATTATACCCCGACTTACGCGGTCATCGCTCAGTCCCACCTATTGCGTAAGTTCGGGGTATTACTGTACTTCATACAGGGTTCCTACGCACCTGGAAAGTCAGGGAAAATCAGGGAAAGTCAGGGATTTTCATTATTTTTTGAAAAAGTCAGGGAATGTCAGGGAATTTGTCGAAAATTGTCAAAAAGTCAGGGAATTTGTCTCCTTAACTGTGTTGTTGATTTCGTTTGCTGAATATAGATGACCAATCATAGCCATACGCAGGCGGCAAGAAGTAATGCTGCAATCTTTAATAAGAAAATACACCAGAATTCATTTTGAAATGGTTTTTTTCATCGTTCTGAAGCCATATAATTTTACAGTTGTGGATTAATAAGAGGATAAACTACTTTTATGTAATAGTGTTTAATTTTTAATTTTAATAATTCGGCGATTATAAAAAGATGAAATTGTTTATTAGAATAAAAAATAACTAATTAAAAATTTGCAAACTTTTAAAAGTTGAAATCGTAATTTATTAGAATGTTCATTTCAAAATAGCTAAATAGATCGGTAAAAATCTGTAATTTAATCATTTTTCACGTTTAAAACATTACTACACAACATAAAAAATTATAAGTAGTTACCTGATGTTTACAGTAAAATACTGGCGCTAACTTGTTGTTGGCACAAGCTTTTTATATTCGTTGTTACGATTTTCCTTGAAAGTACTGTACTGCAAGCATATTTTTCCCCTCTCTTCCATTTTTTTCTGCAACTTCGATACATAGTTTAATAATTAGTTTAACTGNAAAATACTCCTAAAAATGGAAAACACTTAAGCAGCAGTAAAATTTATGCATAAATAAATTTATGATTGTAGTATTTGTGTTTTAATCCATTGAAGCTTCAAAGAAATTTGAAATATATACATATAAGTGAAGATATTTGTTTGTTTGTTTGCTACACACTCCTAGACTGAGACTGAGACTAAGAGTAAGCAGGCTGTCTGGTGACTTAGCCCTTGTGAAGCGGAAATAGAAGGTTGGGGTGGGTTGTGGTGGATAGTGAAGGAGGGGCGATAGCTGATAGGAAAGGTGTGAAGGGAAGTTGGTGGGATGGGATCCCATTGATGCCTTTCGTCGGCATTTATTGAAAAAACAAGACAATATACATTATACAAGTACAATATACAATATACATAACGGATGGATGGTATATGCTCGGGATTCATAGAATCACCTGGTTGCTACATAGGATAATCTGGTTTTACATACCCGTACGATGCGATAGACAAGATTATATACAACAGAATCCAATTTGGACAGCTGACATGTGGGCGGTATTCATAGCAGAACCGTTTTACATATGCTTATGATGAGAGATACCAGTACAGCAGAAGCCGCCTTAAACGATAAATGGCCTAGAACCAAATACCGAGATCACAAAGCATACAACATATATCAAAACAATGCATGTTAACAGATGAAGAGGTGCACCTCATGACATCAAGACACTCCGTTGTTTTGAAAGATTTCACAGTCCACGGTGAATTTTTCCAGTTGGTAGAAGTTCTTCTTCGTGGCACAGAAAAAGTCCCATGGTGGGGGCCAACTCTTGCCGTTGGAGACACAGTAGTAGTTTTTTAGTATTTGTCTTTGGCTTGTATACTTAGTGCAACTCAGTATGATGTGGTTGATGTTCCCGATCGACGTGCCATCACAATCACAGTAGCTGTCCGCCTTCTTTTTTATACGAGCCAAGTAGCTAGGAAGGTTCCCATGGCCGGTCAGGAGCTGCGTGAGACCATAGGAAGGTGAGAAGTAATCCATAGTGTTCCGGTTTGCAATGGAAGGTAGAAATTGGTAGGTAGTCCTGCCTATGCTAGAGTTGGTCCATTCTTGTTGCCAATGATCCATGATTTTGTTTTTGATGTACCTGCGGATGTGGCTTAGAGGGAGTTTGCTGAAGGTAGTCGACATTACCGCGTTGCCTGCCGCCCTTTTAGCAAGCTTGTCCGCTTGTTCGTTACCTGGCTGGCCAGAATGCCCGGGGGTCCAGCTGAAATTGGTGGGTCTGAGTTTGTTTAAATGTCTCGCTAGGTGTTGGATTTTAATCCCTGTTTCAGTCTGCTTCTTGCCCCCTTGTATGCTCCTTAGCACGTAGCGGCTGTCCGTAATGAAGATTATTGTGCCATTTATTTTTTTGATGTTTCTGTTGACGTAGGAGAGGGCCCTTTCCATTGCCCAGAGCTCGGCCTGATTGCTTGAGCAGAAATCAGCCAATTTATAATATTCCTCGTGTGCTGTGGAATTTAGACGGTTATTATAAACCACAAAGGCTGCCCCTGTACCCTTATCGCTTCTGGCCCCATCTGTGTAAACATGCCAGTTGTAGCTGGAGTGGTCTATTCCTTCATTAATGTGCGTGAGTATGGCGTCCATCTCTGCTGGGTGATTATGACTGGCAGTACTGGTTTTGTAATAGTCCACACCGTAGGCCTTAATTTGGTCCTTTATATCAGCGTCCTCTTGTGAGGTGTTGTTTCTGTCGGTGGTTATTTGGTTGTCTTCCTCGTTGAGGCGACTATTTTCCTTCTTGAGTGTCCTGGACCAGACCATACTGTTGATTTTTATGTGAATTGGTTCAATATTTGCGATGGCAAGGAGGGCATCTGTAGGTGCTGTGCGGTAGGCCCGGCAAATTCTGATGGCAAACGATCTTTGGGCCGAGAGCAGTTTCCTTTTATTGTGCACAATGTTGGCTCTGTCACCCCAGATTTGAGCAGCGTACAGAAGCGCCGGCTCAATTGCTCCTTTATAAATTAGTCTGCAGTTTTTCGTGCTGATCCCCCAAGAGTTTCTGGCGATGTGGTATAGCATGTTTGCTCTCTGCTTTACCTTTTTACAACACTCCTAGGCTGTCCAACCAATTGTTACAAAAGTCGGCAGTTATGTTCAATACTTCTAACTTACATAATGTTGAACATCCCACCCTAAAATATTGATCGGATTTCTATAAATCAATTAATATCTATCTACATTTGATTTGCTAATTTACATGTAGTGCTGTCCATTGGCAAAATATTTAACAAAATAATAAACTAAATATAATTCTTACAAAAAAGGATATAATTTTAAAAAATATGTATTACATTCATTTAATTACTGTGACAACAATATAGCATGAAATAGACTCGCTATATCGTTATTGAGACAGGTAGCATATAACACTTGCCTGAAGTGGAATCAAAAGTGTTACTCTGTGGAAAGTATAGTAAGTATATAACTATTTAGTTTTTCACATCTAACAACTTGGTTTTTTCATTTCTGAATAGTACTTTCTTAATTCTCATAAGTGCCCACCAGTAACCAAGTGGATAAAACTACCGAACACTGGTAGTTAGTCATTGGTTCGGGCATGCCCTGTGGAGTNTTAGATCACGTCATACATCTCTCACCAAAATATTGATGGATTTTTACATATCAATTAATTTCTGTTGATATTCGATTTTCTAACTTTACATGTAGTGTCATCCATTGGCAAAAAATTTAAGAAACTAATAAACTAAATATAATTCTTACAAAAAAGGATATAATTTTAAAAAATATGTATTACATTCATTTAATTACTGTGACAACAATATAGCATGAAATAGACTCGCTATATCGTTATTGAGACAGGTAGCATATAACACTTGCCTGAAGTGGAATCAAAAGTGTTACTCTGTGGAAAGTATAGTAAGTATATAACTATTTAGTTTTTCACATCTAACAACTTGGTTTTTTCATTTCTGAATAGTACTTTCTTAATTCTCATAAGTGCCCACCAGTAACCAAGTGGATAAAACTACCGAACACTGGTAGTTAGTCATTGGTTCGGGCATGCCCTGTGGAGTTTTCCACATCTGGCAGTGTGACATGTCCAGTAATCTGAAACTAATCACTCTCAAGCTTTGAATGTTCAAGCTTGAGAGTGTTAAAAAACTTAAAAAAAAAAAGTACAATAAATACAAGTTATAACATAACACCATATAAATATAAAAATAATTCTCCCAAATTGCCCACAAAAATTCAATATTTTCCACTAAATTTTCTACAGTTGCTTCAGTATCTCACTAAAATATTAAATTTAATGAGAAAGTGGAATCCATCAACTTGGCAACAATAATTACTGCTTGAATATTTTGATCAGTAGTCCAACCTAATACAATGTATTGATATCATGCAAATAAACAAATATTTTTCTTCCAAATGATTTACACCATTGAATTCATTTTACTTCCAATAATCTGACAATCATCTTAATTCACTCTGTTCCAGTTCCATATATATTGGATTACTGAGACTTGTACTGTCCTCCAAATTTCCTGCCAAAAATACTGTATTTCCTGCTAAATTTGCTACAGTTGCTTCAATTTAATTACTTAATTATTCTTTTGATCTAATTTTTTCAATTTCTTATCGTGGGCTTTTTAGAAAGAATTAAACACTGTATTTTGTATGCAAAAATCAGTTATTTTATATCTAAATAATATCAGAATAAATAGTATTAGTCATTATACAAAATTGTAGCAGCATAATTTAAAACATGAACTTGGAACATTTTAATTTCTATTAACTTAAAATGTTTCAGCAAGTTTTAAACAATACTTTTGAGAATTTTTATGGTAAAGGTGTCGAAAGATGAAATATTGCATAACTGATTTTGCTTATCAAACCAAAAATTTATTTCAAAATGAAATAATTGAACACTAGCCATATACTTCATAACATTCTAAATAACTGTTATATGAATAAGCAATCTGTAAATTAAAGTTATTCAAAGTTTAAATACTGACTCATTTAATTAAATATAACATTATTCATTTAATATTTTGTTTCAAAGGTGTTACTAACATGGCAGATCGTCCTTTATCGGAAAGAGAAAAGGTTACATTGCCAGTGGTAAACAATTGGTTCAACAATCGTCGGAAAGAAGCGAAAAAACAATTACGACAGCAACATGGTACAGAAATTTTTACTTAATTTTGTTGTAAATTTCATAATCTGTAAGCACATAATTAAATGTAAATTATATACATTTTTTATAAGTTGTAGAAATGTTATTACACTAGCTTTAATATAAAAGTTTAAATGCAATTTTAAAGCATAATTTCTAATTTTTATCTGCAATTTGAAAAAATTGTAGAACTATAAATTCCCACTGTTATCAGTCCTTCTGTCTATCTTTCATTAATCTTGAATGGAGTTAAATACATGAAAGTTGAGTCCAGATATAGAAACCTTAGGGGTAGGAGGCCCCAATTAACTATATATGAACATCTGATGCAAACCAGAAGTTAAATTATTTCAATTCAAAACTTTTCTCCTGAAAGGAGTTAATAGATGACTGACATGACTCTGTTAAAGGAAAAGTATGATGTACAGGGGCAAGTCGCTACTAATTTGAGGTGGAGAGCATATACTTTAAAATAAATTAATTAAAAATATTAAAAATTGCAGCCTGGCATTGTGATGATGTCACAATAAATAATTGCTCGTTTTATTTAGATTTGATTCAATTTCAATATATTCAGATATTTCTTAAATTTGTGACTTGCCAACATATTATTAAACTAGTCAAGATTGTAGTTTATATTTCAGTAAATGAAAATCATTAAATTTTTATTAAAATTCTTCAAAAAATTTGGAAATCAGTTCTTTCAATACTGAAAATTTTAAGTTTATGTAGGAAGTTCTACTGGTCAGTTTTCCAATGTCTTTAAGTAATTTCAATTTTTTGATCTTTTAATGTGTTTATCTATAATGGAAAATATTTTGTTCCTTTTTCTTGTAGCATTCAGTTTAGATTCTAATTAATGAGAGAGACATAAGAATGTACAAATTGATTACTTTTAGGTTTATTATGGAATTTGTTATATACTGAACCAAAATGTAATAAGCAGTCATATTTTATATTGACTTATATCATTGTATTTTTTTATACAGATCTCAGTAAAATTATAATTTGAAACATTTTTCATTCTTTAATTGATCAACATTAGTTTTTAACATGATGTAGTTCATGAGAAGATATTTGACAAATACAGGTAACCCCCGTATAACACGGTAGTTACGTTCCAAAAAATTGTCGTGTTATGCGAATCCGTGTTATACGAAACAAAGAACTAATACGAAAAGGAGGGTTAGGTTCCAAAAATTAAAAAACATGCTAGTATATTTTCATAATTAAGATAAATATCTTCATTAAAATTTTTTAAAGTGATACATATTAATATAAATTAAACAATGTTTTCTTC